CTTAACCACTTGAGCCACCGCAGTCAGGTACTAAAATAAAGATTTCTTTAATGATTTGCACACATTAAAATGCCTGATATTGAAACAGTTGCAACACTCACTTGCACATATCATTTCTTAAATGTGAACCTAATTTGTTTAATCCTTGTTTGGATGGAGTGGTACAGGCTACATCTTGAAAACTGCTGTTGTTTGATAGCAGTTATAATAGTAACAATAGTTGTAGTTTTACTTGTCTGTGGCACAATATCCCTTAGTAACATTATTTTTACAATATACATGTTGAAATAGGTTGAAGGCAAGCAGAACACTTACTCATATATAATAAATAAATTACATGAAAGTAGAAATAAAGGACAAACCAAAATGTTAAAATAATAACATATCACTACAGACCAACACTGACAACAACCAAGGACCAGTGCAGATGACCCTTAAGGGGTGGCTCTGGGCTGCCCCTGGGAACTCTGTATCGAGGTCATGGTAACCACACACCGCAGCCCCTATCCGGCTTTTTGCTGCTCCAGAAAGAGCTGGCAAATGCCGCTCCTTTTGGGGGTGGAAAAAAGCCAGCCTTAGTGCTGCTGAGGTGGCTCTTTTGCACCCCTTTGGCACAGCATGTCTGCATGCTGTGCCAACGGGGTGCCCTGATGCCACACGCCATGTGGTTGGGCACGCGATGTGATGATGGAGTCGGGGCACAGCTGGGGTGGAGTTGGGGCAGCTGGCATGTGGTCACCCCACTCCAACTTCACCCCCAAGCTGGCCCTTTTGGTTGGTCTGCATCGGCCCTAAGACTCCCTTTGCAGTCCAGTGCTGATATCTTTAGGAATTTTTCAGCATAATTTTTGGGGCTGCTACTATATTTGACCATAATTGTAATAGATGAGTGTCATCTGCCAAGAGGTATCAAATAGGATTAAAAACTGTCCAGTCTCTTCTCTCAAAGGATCTCATAAGAAATGAACAGTGTACTAAATAGAGTTGGTCCCCTGTTTCCACAGATTCAGCATGCTCAAAGTCAGCCATCCACAGCTTGAAAATATTAAAAAATAAAAATCAAATCCGAAAAGCAAACTTTGATTTTGTCATTTTATATAAGGGACACCACACCATTGTATATAATGGGACTTGAGCGTCCACATATTTTATATCTACAAGGGGTCTCAGAACCAAACCCCATGGATACCAAGGGTCCACTGTAATGGACTATGTCTTCCACCTCCCCAGAGCCATAGTCTGATAACCAAAAATAAAGAGATAACTAAATATAAAGGGATCCTTTTATGTATTCCTTCCAGGCAAGCTACAAGCATGGTTTGAAAACAGAGGGCACTGAAAGCTTTTCTGAGGGCAACAAAGGTTAAGGCTGGGTCTACATGGGCCAGAATACCTCAGGGGCATCTCAGACTATTATGGCCTCAGAGCTGCCCCAATGCCCCCTCCCCACTACCTGGGACCTTCCTGTGATGTCCTGCCGCCAGGATCCTGGCATGTCCTTTGACTCTGAAGGCTATGATGGAGAGGCTGAGAGCCCAGGAGACAAGCCAGGCTGCAGCAACTTCAGCAGCCCTAGTAAGTGAGCCTACAGTCAGTTCCCAGCAGCCACAAGAGCAAAATTCACAATAGCCACAACCCTCAGATGAAGAGACAGGCTTACCAGTGCCTACCCCTTCAGAGAGACACCAGGAAAGAGAAAGACGCTGATGCTTTCAGCATTTACGTAAGAAGCACACTTCTACTAGAGAGTGCCTGTGAGATTGTAAATATCCCAGCACCTCCATCAGTCCAGTATGGCTGACAAGCATCCATCTTCCTTGGGAGAAAACCACACTGGTGCCTCATTCTTTGATTGTTGCCCATTGTTGCCCAGATTGTTCTGGCTTCAAGTGTGTAATTTGTGGCCTTTAAGTTAAGATGTCATTTTGTTCTTTTCCTGTTGTTTCAGTTTTTCCATGAGAGCAAATAATTGCTTTTCTTTTCTTAACCTACCTCAGCCACATTCTAACTCCTATTTTCACAAAACTCAATTCCAACTGACTTCTTAACTGCACACACCAGGTTTCAAAGACTCCCTTTCCAACTCACCAGTCACCTCCAGCTTTCGAAACACACAGGCTCCCCCTCCCAACAGACCACTTACCATAAAGGTGCTACAAGATCTCTTTACGCACTTACCATAAATGTCTAAGATACTTACATATGCACCTGTGCCGCAGCATGAAGCAATCCTGTACCTTAAGTCACACAATGTTAAATATGTGTAAACACTATAGAGCATTCAGGGAACTGTACAGTGTGTGTAGCAGGTCAGCCAGTCAACCAATGCACCCCTTTTGATTTTTTCATTATATGCATAGTAGGCCAAGGAAAATCAATCCTTGTTTCTTTTAGGCAGAGTCAGGACACAAGCTGATATTAGGAGCAGCAAAGGGTGGTAGTGGAGCAGGTTGACAAATACAGTCTTTGTGTTAGCTGAGGCTTAGAGGCAGTGACTTTTTCTCAAGGCATTTCAGTGAGCAGAGGGAATTTGAATCTGGGCATGCCATACCCAAGCCTGGCATTCAACCTATTGTACCTCCCAGAGAAGATTTTAGAATAGCTCAAACTGTGTTATGCTGTTGCATTGCTACCTTTCTATATCTTTCTATATGGCTCAGTCCCATAGAGCCAGTGTGGCACAGTGGTTTGAGTGTTGGACTACAACTCTGGAGACCAGGGTTTGAGTCCCGGCTCAGCCATGAAACCCAGTGGATAACCTAGGGCAAGTCACATGCTCTCAGCCTCAGGGAAAGGCAATGGGAAGCCACCTCTGAACAAATCTTGCCAAGAAAACCCCATGATAAGGTTACCTTAGGGTTGCCATAAGTCAGAAACAACTTGAAAGCACACAACAACAACAACAACAACAACAACAACAACAACAACAAACCATTTAACAGGCATGCCTAGTAGAGGGATGAAAGAGAGCTTTCTTAGTAGCTGCCCCAGAAATTCAAACTCTCTGCCTAGGATGACTCCCTTCTTGCTGTTCTTCTGTTGACAAGTGTTATTTTTCTAAGGCCCCACCTTGTGTAAAAATGGTTCATTTCCACGACGTTCACACTGGCCCCAAATGCACTCAGCACTGTTTGCAGGGGGAATGGAGAAACCCACCTAACCCAGTGTATTCGACACCAGGTCCCTTACCTCATCTTTTTAAAGGGTCTGAAGTGATCTGGGACCTTATCCCACGGGGCCAAAAGCAGCAAGAATCCACATGGAATCAGGCGCTATAGCGCTATAGTTTTCCGGGTGATCCCACGACGTCGCTCGGAATCCGCTAAGAATCAGGCGCTATAGCGCTATAGTTTTCCGGGTGATCCCACGACGTCGCTCAGAATACAACAAGAAACCGCTCGGAATGCAGCATCATTCGGGTTCTTTTGAATGCCTGGTTTCATCGGGCATTGCAATAGCGCTACCTTATCCATAGCGCTATTATAGTGCTAGCGCCATATTATACTAGCGCTATAGTACTGCAATGATGCTCATATCGGTTTCTTGCCACTTTTGAGAGCAGCGTGGGATAAGGTCCCTGGATCATTGGTAGTGCAAGCACACTACCTAATTGATCTGGATTGCACAGGATTGTTTCCAGAAATGGAGGTGCTTCCATTTTGAATCAATCTGGTACGTGTGTGAATGTCAACTAGGCTTTAAATGCCACAGAGAAATTTGGGCACGTAAACCGTAGTGGGAACATCCATTTGGTATTGTGTCACCACAGAGATCCGGATGTCCTCAGGACAAAAACATAAGTATGAATGCCCCCTGAGACTGGCTGCCATCAACACTGCAGAATTAATGCAGTTTGACATTACCCTTTACCTGCCACGGCTCAATGCTATGGAATTCTGGGATCTGTAGTTTTGTGAGATGTTTAACCTTCTCTGTCAGAGAGCTCTTGGTGCCTCAACAAACCACAAGTCCCAGAATTCCATAGCACTGAGCCATGGCAGGTAAAGGGGTGTCAAACTGCATTAATTCTGCAGTGTGGCAGCAACTAGTTTTAGGAACTGACAGTGAAGACTTTTAATAGTGTGGTTCAGGACAGGAAAACCTGTTCCCATCAGAATCTCTAAAAACATAATAGTTTTAGCTAGAGATCCCAAGGTATATGAGTCGGAAACCCTCAGAATGTCATGCTGGACAGTCAATTCAAGAGAAAATAAGAAATGAGATAACAAGCTTCCTTCTTCTGAAAAAAGGAGTGATGGTTTGAGTGTCATTTTTACCTCTCATTTTTAATCCAGTTTTCTGTAAATAATGTGAATTTATCCTCTCTGTGTTTCTCAGAGTGAAATATACGACACTGGAACCAAGCTGGGAATGATGCGGAGGATTTGAGAACATCTACAATTCTATTTTAAAAAGTCAATATACCTACTGTGTGTTACCGAAGCAATGTGCTTACTGTATGGGGAGCTATTTCATGCCACTGATAAGACTAAATATTCCATGTGGGTTAACTACTGGATGTGCATTTATCCACGTTAAATGCTAGGTTTCTCATTGTTTTATTAGACAGTCCCTCATCTCCTCTTTGTGTTATTTAGACATTGTAAAAGGCAGCATATGATCCCTTTAGTTGCTGGCAGGGGAGCTGTTAGATCTATTTTTCACTAGTTTACCTAATTTACATGTTTCTCTACTCCTTATATTTCTATATTGCCCTTCAGCTGATGATTTTCAGGTTATTCATAATACAATGGTACAAACAGAACAAAACAAAAGACAGACGATGAAATCCTACAGATTAAAACTGCAGATTAAAAAGTCAGCATGCAAAATTTAAAACTCCACTTCTGCCTGGAAGGGCTAGGTGGCCAGCAAAAAAGAATATCTGATCCTACTATTGTCCTTTGAATAGTTATATTCAAATAGTGATATTATTTTTGACACAAAATGTAATATTGTCATCTGCTAATTGGTGCAGATCCTTAACTACTGTTAAAAGGTCTGCTGCAGAGACAGGTTCAACAGCTGGGTCTGGAACTCTTATTTTAGACAAAGAATCACAGCAAAATCTGACTAGGGCACACAAAAAGCAACACTGAGCAAATGATGAATTAAAGTTTGTTTTCACTGTATTTCCCCCTCCCAACACCAATCCTAGAGGAAATCATTAACAACCCGGGCTGCGTAAGAAACAAATTATATAACACATGATAGTTGGCTAGGTGATTTCTTTTGGTAGCTTTTCATATGTGGGGGAAGACCTGTATGCCCTCTTGCGGCCAACTGGTTATTGCTAAAGACTGGAGATGTTCTGCTCTTTAAATAACATTATTTTAAATAAAAATCCACAACCCTTACTTCTTAAAGGATTGGTGGGATTCGGGATTTTATGTTCTG